GCATTGTGGGAACCTTCATTCTATAGCCAGTGGGTCAGAAGCACAGATAATAACCTGCGTTTGTGATTGGCATTGGAAGTGGAGGGCAGTATTATGGTACTGAGCCCCTAATCCTTGGAACCTGATGCTATCTCTGGGTAGATAGTATCATAATTGAATTGTAGGACACCCAGCTGGTGTTGGAAAATTGCTTGGTGGCGGGCAGGTGAGATCACCCTGCACTGCACCACGCACACTGGAAATTAGGTCCAGAACATTTAAACCCCTAGTGAACTGATGACCTGATGAGCTCAAAGGATGATCATTAGTGGTTACAAATAGCACAAAAAGAAAGACAGGTGTTGACTGGTTTGATTAAGGTTCTGGATTGAACTACCAACTATAGAAATATAGAGAATAAAAACATTTAAATATCACCATAGGGATCAATTTGCAAAATCTAGCCTGTGGGAAATCTACAGGAAAATGGCCTATTTTTTTTTTTTTTGAATGAATTAATGCCAGGGGAGAAAGAGAACAAGGATGCTACTGAATAAAAGATTAAAAGACCTATCAACCCAGGGGTGTTAGGGTGGCTCAGCTGATTTTGGCTCAGGTCATGATCCCAGGGTCATGGGACCAAGCTCTGCATCAGACTCTGCTGAGCATGGATTCTCTCTCTCCCTCTCTCTCTGGCCCCACCCTCAACAAACAAACAAACAAATAAATGACCTACCAACCCAATTTATCTGGACCCTGACTCAAACAAAGATTTCTTGTTTTGTTTTAATTTTTTAAATATTTATTTATTTTTGAGAGAGAAAAGACAAACATGAGAGGGGGAGGGCCAGAAAGAAAGGGGGTAGAATATCTGAAGTGGGTTCATTGCTGATAGCAGAGAGCCTGGGGCTCAAACTCAGAAAGTGAGATCATGATCTGAGTTGAAGTCAGATGCATAACCAACTGAGCCACCCAGGCACCCTTAAACAGAGATTGTTTTTAAAAAAATAATTTTATGAGACAATAAGGGAAGTTTAAATTCTGAATATCCATGTTATTAAGGAACTAATGTCCTTCTTTGTAATAATGGTATTATGGTTATGTTAAAAAAGAGTTCTTGGGTGGCTGGGTGGCTCAGTAGGTTTGATGTCCAACTTTTGATTTTGGCTCAGGTCATGATCTCATGGTTTGTGGGTTCAAGTCCCGTGATGGGCACCCACACTGATAGTATGGAGTCTGGTGGGATTCTCTCTCCCTCTCTCTCCCTGTCCCCCTCCTGCTAGCTCTCTTTCTCTCTCAAAAATAAATAAACTTAAGAAAAGAGTCCTTATCTTTTAAAAATCATATTGAAATATTTATGTGTACATAATTTTAAATCTTTAAAACATTTTTTTAAACATTTATTTATTATTGAGAAACAGAGAGAGACAAAGCATGAGCAGGGGAGGAGCAAAGAGAAGGGGAGACACAGAATCCTAAGCAGGCTCCAGGCTCTGGGCTGTCAGCACAAAGCCCGACATGGGGCTCGAACCCACAAACCATGGGATCATGACCTGAGCTGAAGTTGGACGCTTAACTGACTGAACCATCCAGGTGCCCCTCATATAATTTTAAAAGTACAGAATATTGTTGCCAACTTCTCCAATCTGAAAATAGAAATATATTAACAAAACGATACCTTTTTCCAGCTTTATTGAGATACAATTTGTATTTAACATTGTGTAAGTTTAAGGTGTACAACATGTTTACATTGTGAAATGATTACCACAATATGATAGGTTAATAAATCAATATGTATTATCATATAATTACTTTTTTGTTGTGGTGGTGGTAAGAACACTTAAGATTTATTCTCAGGGTACCTGGGTGGCTCAGTCGGTTAAGGCTCTGATTCTTTGTTTCGGCTCAAGTCATGACCTCACAGTTGTGTGATGGAGCCCCAGGTCAGGCTTCATGCTGGTCGTGGAGCCTGCTTAAGATTCTCTCTCTTCCTCACCCTCTGTCCTTCTGCCCCACTCGTGTTCTTTCTCTCTCTCTCTATAAAATAAAAATAGCAACTTTCTTTTCTCTCTCTCTCTCTTTCTTCTTTTTTTTAATTTAAAAATTTATATTTTTATTGAATTTTAAATATTTCTTCTCCCCCAACATGGGACTGGAACTCACAACCCTGAGATCAAGAGTCACATGCGCCACTAAGCCAACCAGGTGTCTCTCTTAGCAACTTTCAAGTATACAATACAGTATTGTTAACTATACTCACTATACTGTACATTAGATCCCCAGAACTTCTTTCTGGAAGTTTGTACCCTTTGATCAACATATTCTCATTTTCCCCACCCCCAGCCCTGGAACCACCAATCTCTGTTTCAGTTAATTTTGCTTCTTAAGATTCCCCATGAAAGTGAGATCATACAGGATTTATCTTTCTCTTTATGAGTTATTCCACCTACTATAATGCCCATCCATTTTGTCACAAATGGCAGGATTTTCTTTTTTTAATGTCTGATTAATATTCCATCATACACCCCCTCCCCCCCCCACACCACATTTTCTGTACCCATCCATTTCTTTTTTAAAAAGAGAGAGGGAGAGAGCGTGAGCAGGGAAGAGAGAGAGAATTTCTCTCAATCTCATGACCCTGGGATCACAACTAAGCCAAAGCCAAGAGTCTGATGCTCAACTGACTGAGCCACACAGACACCCCTCTTTATCCATCTTTTCGTGGACATTTAAATTGTTTCCATGTCTTTGCTAATTGTGAATAAGGCTGCAATGAACTTGTGGGTGCAGGTATATTTTCAAGATACTGATTTCATTTCATTTACATATATACCTAGAAGGGGCATCTTTGGTTTTTCTATTTTTCATTTTTTGAAGAACCTCAATACTCTTTTCCCTAACAGCGATTCTTTTCATTGCGAAGCACAGTGAGTAGAGAAGCCATTCAAAAGATTAGGGTTCCAGGTGAATCTGAATTGTGTCCCAGTACTCTAGGGAATAATACTTTCAAACAGATGAGAAAGAGGAGACTGGAAAGGTAAACTGCTATTGGAACATGCCTGACACACAGTAAAGGCACCACCATGACTCTACTACTATACCTGGAATACTAAAATAGCTTTCCAGACTGGTCTCTCTTGGGCTTTCATCATTCCCCATTCCCCAACCTAGTCTCAAAACAGCAACCAGAACAATCCTTGATGACATAAATCACATAATTTTGCTTTCTCCTTTTTTAAATCATTTTTTTAAATGTTCACTCATTTTTGAGAGAGGGAGAGAGACAGAAACAGAGACAGAGACAGAGACAGAGACAGAGAGAGAGCGCTCAGTGATGGGGCAGGGAGAGAGGCAGACACAGAGTCCAAAGCAGGCTCAGTGCTCCAAGATGTTAGCATAGAGCCCGGCATGGGGCTGGAGCCCACCAGCCGTGAGATCATGACCTGAGCCGAAGTTGGGCACTTAACGGATGGAGCCACCCAGATGTGCCGATTTTGCATTCTCCTTAAAACTTTCCAATTGTTTTCCAATTCACCCAGAATAAAATCCAAAGACTTTATGGTGGTTTCATGTTACCTCTATGACTCTCTCTGTTACTTCATTCTATACCCACTGAATTTCTTGTCATTCTTTTAATGTCCCAGGCTGTGTCCAAGTTCCAAGCTCTTACACTGGCCTGGTCCCTGTGTCTGGAATTGTCCTTCAAGATAACAGCAGGATTCTTTCACATCCTTCAGCTATTTCTCATGTCACTTTCTCAGCAAATACTTCCCTGGCCATATCGAAAAATTCAACACCTTCTCTACTCACTTTCTTCTATCTCCTCTCTGCTTCATATTTTGTCTATACATATTATACATATGTCTGCTATACATATGAAATTGTTTTGCTTATTGTTAATTTCTCTCACCAAGCTCCTTGAGGTCGGAGGTTTGCCTATGTTCTTTACTGCTTATGTCCTTCCTACTTAGAACAAAGCCTGTTATAATAGGTGTTTACCTAGAAAATATTTATTAAATAAATCAATACTTGCATGGCTCCCTCCCTTTCTTCAAATCTAGTTGGTGTCACCTTATCAGTAAAGCCTTTCCTGAAGATCCTATATAAAATAAGTACCTTTCCCTCTACATACCCCAAAACTATTTCCCTGCTTAAAAAAAAATTGCAGTCAGCACCATTTGACAAATTATATAATCTGTCCCTTTTTCCTTCTCCTGTTGATTCTAAGTTCCATGAAGGCTGGGACTGTATTCTCAAGAACTTGAGCACTTGACTCTTGGTAGGTACTCAAGTTATTTCTTGGAGGAACTAATGAACCATTTCTGACTGACAGCATTCTTTCCACGATCACAAACACTACCAGAGTGGCCATGAAGTTCTATCACAATCGAAAGAAGCTTGCCAACTAGCACTGTAAACCTCATACTCCCAACTGCTTCTTCAAAGAGCACTGTTCTTGGCTACGAACTGCAAAAACAACTGTTCGCCATTTCATTTCTGCCCCTAAAATTTAAGCACAGAATTGACAGCTCAGGGCAACGCAGCGATTACAAGTATTTAGCAAATTTCGTTGTAAACTGTCGGTGTTAACCGAAACTTAATGTGTTTTTCTTGACTTTGTACAGCACCATCAGGGAACAAAAGCTAATTCCTGGTAGGTGGGGCCTGGCCCTACACGCCTGCAGGGCTCAGGATTGGCTGAAACGCGGCAGGCACCGCCCCGTCGGACAGACGCGCTTTTGGGCGCGGTCGTGATGGGAGATGCGTGAGCGGGGCGAGGTGGGGCGGAGCCAGGCGGGCTGGGCAGGCCGGGCCGGGCCGGGCGACATCCCGGCCGCCGGACTCGGGATTGGCTGAGGTATGTCAGGCTCCACCCACGCCGGCTCACGGCGCGCGCATGGGCGGGGCCGTCCCGTGAGGCGCGTGGGGCGGGGGGGGGCTGGCCTTCGGGCTGGCCTTGGGGCTGGGGCTGCGGATGCTGGGGCTGGGCGGACCTGCTATGTTTAGAGAGTGGCTGAGGGATGGCGAACGTGCGGGTGGCCGTGAGGGTCCGGCCCCTCAGCAAGAGGTGAGTCTGGAAGGGAGGGGGCTCCTGAGGCGTCATATGAGCTGAGAGAAAGGCGAGATCCCCGCCTCTCGTTCAAGTGCTTCTGGCGCGGAGAAGTCAGACATAAAGTGGCCCAAGGGGCCAGGGTCCGGAAACCTTAAAAGCCTGGCGGGACAAAGCTTCGGTTAAAGCTTTCGGGTCTTCTCCTGAGATATAGCGCTTACTGGATTGCATCAACGGTGGGCTGCTCTGTGTCCGTGTCCCTGGAGTTCTGTGAGCAGGAGTTTTGGGGGACCACGGCTCAAGTCTTGATGCATGGATTGGGGCTTTCTCACTGAGTTCGCTGAGAAGGGCTGGGAAAGTACCCGGGAAGTACCTGTAGGGACTGAGGCAGAATTGTGTGTGCCCCTGAGCGCACATTGGTTTCTCTGCACAGATGTGGAGAGAGCCAGATTGGAAGGCGTGAGAGAGAAGTTGAGGCCCAGGGAGATCGTGGTTTCATCCCATGCCCCATAGTAAAACTGTAAAGTAGAAGGAAGTTATTCTAAACCCTTTCCTCAGTGTCGTCATTGCTTATTTCCTCATGGGTTAATCGGATCCAGCGCCTCTCAGCTCTTTAGGCATCCAATGTCAGGCGACATAATTTCCCCTTTTCATGGATTTTCCACTCCTAGGTTTGGAAAGCCAGGGGCGGGCTGATATTTGAACTGTTTTTGTTTGTTTGTTTTTGTTGTTGTTTTTTAATTGGGGCTTGAGCTTACCACTCCAAGATCAGAGAAGAGTCTCATGCTTTACTGACTGAGCCACCCAGGAGCCCCTGAACTTTTTTTTTTTTAATGTTTTATTTTTGAGAGAGAGACAAACAGAACACAAGCAGGGGAGGGGCAGAGAGAGAGAGCGAGAGAGAGCGAGAGGGAGACACAGAATCTGAAGCAGGCTCCAGGCTCTGAGCTGTCAACACAGAGCCCAAAGCGGGGCTTGAACCCACAAACTGTGAGATCATGACCTTGGTGGAAGAGGAACACTTAACTGACTGAGCCACCCAGGCGCCCCACCCCAGAACTGTTTTTTAAAGAGCTTTGCTGATAGGTAGAGTTTGCTGATAGGTAGAGAAGGGGTAGAAAGAACCCTGAGAGCAAAGGACTTCAGCTGTTAGAAAACCCCATTTTGGGGAGACAACATGTAGAAGGAGGTGAGTGAGAAGAGACAAGGCTGCAGAATGTAGTTTGGGACCAGAAGACAGACACTGGAATTATTTGGGAAGTTTAAAATTTTTCCAGGACATAAGGTGGCTTGCAGTTTGGGCATAAGGATTAAAAAAAAAATGCATTGTCTCCCATAACAAAATTTGGTACTAGCAGGGATTATTTTTGTCCCTGATATGGTGGTGATTGGTTTTGAAAAGTCATGCAACTGTTAGGCTAATGAGGACAGCAATGGGATGAGGGAAAGAAACAAGAACAGAAAAGAAAGTAGGAAAAAGGCAAAAGGGATACAATGGAGAACAGAGGAGAGCAGCACATGCCTGAACTGCTGTTTAGATTGGTAAGTGATTTATGACCTCTGGCTTCTGCATGATTGGATGTGGTGACTTATGGTTGAGGAGTTTTCTTAGGTGCAGCTGCCACCTTGGAGGTAGCCTTCAGTAGATCTTCTTTTTGCAAAAACTGTTCTTTTAGGGTTCTCAGGATACTTACCTGACCACTCCTCACAGTAGCCTCTCAATTCCTTGAGAGCTAGGAATTTATTATAGTGTGGATTAGATTAAGAACATGCTTTTGTGGGGTGTCTGGGTGGCTCCGTCGATTAAGTGTTCAACTTCCTGTCAGGTCATGATCTCACAGTTTGTGGGTTCATGCCCTGTGTCCGGCTCTGTGCTGACAGCTCAGGGCCTGGAGCCTGCTTGGGATTCTGTGTCTCCCTTTCTCTCTGCCCCTCCCCCACTCCTGCTCTGTCTCTTGCTTTCTCAAAAAATAATCATTAAGAATTTTTAAGAAAATGGTTTTGAAATTAAGTTATTTGCAGCCACAGTAGAGAGTAGTTTATCTCATCAAACAAAAGTGAGGGCAAATAAAGGGCACAAAAACTCATTTACTTTTAGTTTAGGTTATGAGACTTGAGCATCAAGAGGTAGAATGCCAATACTGCAGATATCCAGATATAAATAATTATACAAGGCTGAAGATTCAGGAGCAAATATGGATAAACCCACTGTGACTCCCCAGGTAAGAAGTCAAGACCACTCCTGTCTTCTTGGAGAATCCTGCAGAGATGCACCTCTACTCCAGGGTTTGTTAACTTCCACCATCTTTGCTGACGCTCATCCAAATGTAGGGAATCGGCTAATTATGTGGTTTGTTCAACCTTCAAATAAGTCATTGGCACAGATTTAGCTAATAGTCTTTGGATCTGATGTTATACTTTGGAAGAAATCTTAGGGATCATATGGTCTAAGCTTCCATTTTTTGTTTTTCCAGATAAGACTTGTTTAAAGTCTAAAAGTAGGAAGAGCCAAGATTCCAGTCAATAGACCAAGCTGTTCCTTCCTGAGATTACAGAAAAGTTGTGCTTCTTGACCAAATAAATACCTGTTTGCTTAATAGGACTAGAACTGACCATCAGTAAGATGATAATGTGGGAAATGGTTTTGATTCTCTCCTAGCCCTCATAATTTCCTGTAATTAGAAAGTCTGTAGCTCATTAGGTGATGCTCTCTCTCTCTCTCCCTTGTGTATCCAAAATCACTCATCATTGAAAGAACATGTTCCCTTCTGTTAATATTGTAGGTTCCGGAATATCCCCCACTGTCCTGTCAAAAGTTACTGTTCATAGACTATATTCTCTTTCTGTGGGTCGTAGGTTGTTGAGTTTTTTTAATCCATAAAATAGGATAACTATTTTAGTGGTTTTTTATGAAGATTAAATGAAAGAATACTTTAAAAATACTTAGGACCTGGCTCATTTTAAGTGTCAAAAAAAGTGTTAGCTATATAATTTTTAACAACTATTTTTATTACTCTTTATACTTAGCTTTTTTTTTTTTTAAGTTTTACCAAATGATTAGATAATAAGTGGTAATGGCTTGCTTATTTTCCCCTCTAGGACAGTGATTCTCAAATTATCGCATGCTTACAATCCACCTGGGGAGCTTGTTATACTGCAAAGTGGTTGTTTTCTTTTTTTACCCCATAATGGAACTTGTTAACAGGAATTCAAATTAATAAGCCCACCATCTCACATAATTCTGATGAAGGTAGCTTGTGGACCATACTCTGAGAAACATTGCTCTTGGAGTAAATTAGTAACTGAGGATTTAACCCTGTGCAAAGGGAAAGTCATCCTAAGAAATGAATGCCTCTTGGTAGAATTCAGGACCTAGTGGCAAGTGGTAGTAGCACCACTCCGCTACGTAAGGCTCCATCTCTGCAGACTTCCATTGAGCTCTGTGTGGCTAGCTCCCCAGTTGAGGTTGATGCCCTTTCATTCTGTTCACATTTTTTTTTAAGTTTATTTATTTATTTATTTTGAGAGAGAGAGAGAAAGCGTGAATTAGGGAGGGGCAGGGAGAAATAAAGAGAGAGAGAGAGAGAGAGAGAGAGAGAGAATGCCAAGCAGGCTCCACGCTGTCAGTGGGGAATCAGACCCAGGGCTTGAATCCACTAACAGTGAGATCATGACCTGAGCTGAAATTGGATGCTTAATCATTTGAGCCACCCAGGGGCCCCTGTTTTGCTTAATTTTAATTTTGCCTCATTTTGTTTTAGAACAGTTTGGAATCATTAGGTTACCAGTCGCAGTGGTCGAGGCCAGGATGGATCAGCATCTTACCCTTATGATTTGTATCTTTCGTTCAAGAAGTCAAATTCAGGATGCTTCTTTTCAGGCTATTTTATATGAAATAGTCATAGATGAATCTTTAATAAAGGACATACTTTAAAAAATTAGGTAATAGTTTTGGAAAACTTACTGCATGATTTTTTCATATTTTCTTTATTTTCTAAATTTACTATAATTTGTGTATTACTTTTATGGTGGGAGGAGAGATCATAAAAACTACCTTAGAATGAAGAAAGGAAAAAAGATGTTATCTTGTAAAATGTTAACAGCATTTTCTTTAGAAGCGTTGAGGGCAGGTGAGCAGGGTATGGTTTATGCTGGGGGACTAAGAATATCTTTGGTCCCTTGAGTACTGTCTAGTGTAAAGTGTGAAAGAAAGAGCATTAATATCTTGAAGAAATTTAAGTAACAGAAATGTTACTACACGGGAGAGGGAAATTTACTACCCAGGGCTTTATTCTAGGCTTACTGGTTTAAAAAACTAGTCTTAGGGCACCTGGTTGGCTCAGTTGGTTAAGAGTCCGACTTCGGCTCAGGTCATATTCTCACAGTTTGTGAGTTCAAGCCCTGCTCATATTCTCTGAACTGTCAGCACAGAGCCTGGAGGGGCTTGCTTCGGATTCTGTGTCTCCGTTTCTCTCTGCCCCTCCCACACTCACACACGCACATATTCTCTCTCTCTCTCTCTCAAAAAATGAATAAACATTAAAAAATAAAATCTTAGGGGCTTCTGGGTGGCTCAGTCGGTTAAGCTCCAACTTTGGCTCAGGTCACGATCTCATGGTCGTGTGTTCGAGCCCCGCGTCGGGCTCTGTGCTGACAGCTAGCTCAGAGCCTGGAGCCTGCTTCGGAGTCTTCCTCTCTCTCTGACCCTCCCCTGCTCATACTGTCTCTATCTCTCTCTTAAAAATAAATAAAACATATAAAAAATTAAAAAAATAAATAAAATCTTAAATGTAAAGACTCTTCTTTCACTATGCCTCTCCTTCCCTCCTCAAGTTCTTAAGGTTACATCCTAAGAACCATGAGGAAGGATAAAAATGAGACTGAACATATTTTCTTAACTTTCAGGTCCTAGGCTAGGAGTAATTTAGTTGATTACTTTCATTATAGTGGAGGAAATGTTAATTCTCATCTGTTAACATTCTGGCCTTCAGCACTTTAGCTGAGAGGTCTTTATGTTATGAAAAAGAATTTCATATCAAGAATGGAATATATTCTGTTCATTTTAGGCTCCAAGTATATGGATCACTTGAATTAAGCCCCTTATAGTAAATTTAGGGGTTGGTTAGCTGTTAGCAGTGTTTACATAACTGCGACATAGGAAAATTCTTTTTTTCTTATTTTTTTAAAAATAGTTTATTGTCAAGTTGGTTTTCATTTAACACCCAGTGCTCATCCCCACAAGTGCCCTCCGCCATGCCCATCACCCCCCTTCCACCCCCCACCCCCACCCCCATCAACCCTCAGTTTGTTCTCGGCATTCAAGAGTCTCTCATGGTTTGCCTCCCTCTCGGCCACTATTTCTCCCCTTCTTCTCCCCCATGGTCCTCTGTTAAGTTCCTCCTAATCCTCCTATGCGTGCAAACATATGATATTTGTCCTTCTCTGCCTGACTTATTTCCCTCAGCATAACCCTCTCAGGTTCCATCCACGTTGCTACACATGGCCAGATTTCATTCTTTCTCATTGCCATGTAGTATTCCATTGTATAGATAAACCACGTCTTCTTGATCCATTTGTCAGTTGATGGACACTTAAGCTCTTTCCATGTTTTGGCTGTTGTTGAGAGTGCTGCTATGAACATGGGGGCACATGTGCTCCTAGGCATCAGCACTCCTGTATCCTTTGGGTAAATTCCTAGCAGTGCTATTGCTGGGTCATAGGGGAGTTCTTTTGTTAGTTTCCTGAGGAACCTCCACACTGTTTTCCAGAGGGGCTGTACCCGTTTACATTCCCACCAACAGTGTAGGAGGGTGCCCGTTTCTCCACATCCT